TTGGTCAATTATATATTGTTATTGATATTTCTTATTTTACACTGTCCGTTATCTCCCTTCAACCACATTTCTGTTATTTGTCCCCTTGGTGGGGAGCCTATATATCTAATCTTGTGATGGGCTTTTCTCACCCTTCCCCCTGCCTGACCATCCCCCTACCTTCATGATACCACTACTTCCATTACTGTTCCTGAGGGGGTTTATCTTTCCTGAATCCCATGTGTCAAGAGCTCTTATGTGTACGAATGTGCTCTCTTGTCTAGCCAGATTTGGAAGTTGGAACTGGGTCATGGTAGTGGGGGGAGGAAGTGTTCAGAAACCAGAGGAATGATGTGTGATTTATCAGTGTTATACTACATCTTCGTTGAATCATCCCTTCCTTATACCACTTATGTGGGGGATATCCAATTATCTACAGATGGACTTTGGGTCTCCACTCTAGTCCCTCTCTTTTGCATCGATATAGTTGTTTATTTTGGATCTTTTGGTACCTGATGCCTGATCTTGTCAACAACCATGATCACATAGGCTGGTATGCTTCTTCCATGTCAGCTTATTTGCTTTCCCTGATAGATGGCCGCATGTTTGACCATCCAAGCTTTTAAGACCCAAGCTGCTACATCTTTTGATAGATGGGCACCATCCGCTCTCTTCACCACATTTGCTTATGTACCCATTTGTCTTCAGTGGTCGTGTCAAGAAGGTATGTATCAAAAAGGTCATCAGAACAAAGTATTCTTGTGCTAAGGGAGGTTTTGAGTAGAGGTCCAAAGTCCACATGCTATCTTAATATTTATCATATGAATATATGTGCATTGGCCTCTATCCCTTTCATTATAAATTAATATATTTACTTATACTAATGCCTATAGCTCTACCTCCATAAATAGCTTTTGTATCCTTTTTCTTTCTTCTATTTCCTTTCACCTTCCTCCTGTCCCACTATCATGCTCACCCTCCATTCGGCTCTCAATATTTCCTCTTGGACACATTGCTCTTGATCAAGCCCCACCTGGAATTATATGCACTCCTTACCATCAATTTTAGATCTCTTATTGTTCTCTTTATCTCTGCATTTATGGGCTCCCCACTATCTCCCTCCACTCCCATGCCTCTCAGAACCATCAGTCCCATAGTTTTCTCATCAAGATTGTTCGTCCTACCTATCTTATATAGATAGACATAGGGAAAAATAAAAAAAAAAACAGAACAAGTGAAAAAATGTGTTTTGTTTTCTTTTAAAATTTTGGCAAGGTCCCATTTATATAACTTGTTTTGTTCCTTATGTTTTCAGTGCCGTATCTAAGCATGCACTTAAAAAAGTATAGAGGTATAAATACAGGCACATACATTTGCAAATATATTTATATATAATGATAGGGAAATATATCTATGTACATATATTTATATGTTAAGTATTAAGGTAACAGATGGACATTGGGCCTCTACTCAAGTATTTCTTCAGCACAAGAACACTATGTACTAATAACCTGGCATTCTGTGATGTTCACTTTCCCAACATGATCGCTGAAGACAAAATGGGTGCATTAGCAAATGTGGTGAAGAAAGCTGATAGTGCCCGGCTATCAAAAGAGATAGTGTCTGGGGTCTTAAAGGCTTGAAGATAAACAAGTGGCCATCTAGCTGAGAAGCAACAAAGCCCACATAGAAGCAGCGCAACAGCCTGTGTAATCATGAGGTGCTGAAGGGATCAGGTATCAGGCATAAAAGACCCAGTAAAAACAATCATATGAGGGGAATACAGAGTGGAGACCCAAAGCTCATCTGTAGACAACTGAACACCCCCTCATAGAAGGGTCACAAAGAAGAGATGAGCCACTCAGGGTGCAGTATAGCACCGATGAAACCTACAAATTTCCTCTAGTTCTTTAATGCTTCCTCCCCATTACCCCACACACACACGCACCACTATGATGACCCCAATTCTACTTTACAAATCCGGCTAGACCAGAGCATGTACATTGATACAGATGAGAGCTGGAAACACAGGGAATCCAGCACAGATAAACCCCTCAGGACCAATATTGAGAGTAGCAATACCAGGGGGTAGGGAGAAGGTAGGGGGGAGAGGGAGAACCGATCACAATGATCTACATATAGCTCCCCCCTCCCAGGGAGACAAACAACAGAAAAGTGGGTGAAGGGAGACAGCGGTTGGTGTAAGACATGAAAAAAATAATAATTTATAAATTATCAAGAGTTCATGAGTGAGGGAGGGTGTGGGGGGGAGGAGGTGGGGGAAAAACGAGGAACTGATACCAATGGCTCATATATAAAGAAAATGTTCCAAAAATGATGATGGCAACATATGTACAAATGTGCTTGACACAATGGATATATGTATGGATTGTTAAAAGATATGTAAGATCCCCCAATACAATGATTTTTTAAAAACCCTATGTTTTCTTCTAGGACTTTTATAGTTCTAGGTGTTACACTTAATTCTTTGATTGTTCCTGAGTTCGTTTGTGTATATGGTATGAGTCGAGGTTCAAATTTTTACACATGGAAATCCAAGTTTCCTAGCAACATTTATTATAGACATAATTCTTTCCCCTTCTCAATGGGCTTATAACACTTGTTGACTGTATATGTACACAATTATTTCTGGACTCTCAATTCTGTTTCATGTCTATCATTGTACCAGTATCAGACTGTTTTAGGTTTCTATAATTTTATAATGCACTTAAAGATAAGAAAATGTGGGTTTTCCTACCTTGTTCTTTCCCAAGCCCACATTGGTTATTTGGAGTCCCTTCTGTTCCACATAATTTGTGAACTGATGTTTCTCTTTATGAAAAGAGACTATTAGAATTGTGATGGGTATCGCACTGACTCTATAAACTGATTTAGCTAGTATTGACATTTGTGTCAACAATGAGTAACGCAAATGACCAGAAAGCTCATGAAAAGATGTTCAACACCATTAGGCAAAATACAAGTGCAAATAAAAACCACCATGAGATATCATTTCCTACTCATTAATGTGGCTATGATTAACAAAATGGAAAATAGCAAATATTAGTGAATATGTAATGAAATCAAATTTTTGATCCAACACTGGTGGGATTGCAAATGAAACAGTAAATGTGGAAACAATGTGGAAGCATCTCAGAAAGTTAAACTTCACCATATGTCCCACTAACTCCACTCCTGCATATATGTATGAAAGATTTGAAAGCAAAAACATAACTACATGCTCATATACCAATATACTTGTCCATAGCAGCATTCTTCATAATTTCCAAAAGGTGTAAACAGCATAAATGTCCATCCGTAGATGAATGATAAATAAAACAGTACATGTGGGTACAGTGAAGTATTACTCAGCCATAAAGAAAGGGGAAGTCCAGATAGATATATGTTTCAACATTGAAGAATCCTGAAAACATCTTGCTGACAGAAACAAGTCAATAAAAAAGGACAAAAATTCTACAATACCGTTTATATGAAAGATCTAGAGTAGGCATGTACATAAAGACAAAAGGCGCAGATGTGAAGGGAAAGACGGTGAATTCATTGCTTAATGACATTGAACTTCTCTTAAGATTAACGGGAAATTTTGAAAATGCATAATCTGGATGGACGACATAATAAAATAGTTAAAGTCACTGAACTCTATATGTGTACAGTGTTTAGTCATCTTTTAAAAATATATCTACTACAATAAAAATATAAATACTAATAAGTATCATACAAATATCTAAATGAATAGTAGAAAATCAGTCGAGTTCCAACTCAGAAGAGTTGTAAAGGTGAAACTTTTCCAACTTCAGTTAAAAATTCCGTCATGAATCTTAGATGTACGGTGGTATATAGAAACCAGGTGACAAATGGGATTCTTACCAACAGTATGTATGGCACAATGAGAACAACTTCGATGGACACACACTACGGGGAAATCATGACAAATCATGTAAAGAAGGCCATATTGCATGTGGAAATAGAAATGCAATATTCTAATAATGCTGCTACAAATTATGTCAGAAAAACTACATATCTTGATATAGACAGTGAAAAACATGTACAGCTATCTTTAATCCTTCCCAGTCATGAATCAGAAAATACTTCCAGGACAAAAGCAATCATATCTAATCAGCACACCCTTCCACCATGTTCTGAAATCTTTGTCCCTATAATACTTATTGCTTCCAAGCAAGCTAATCTCCAGAGATTCATGTTTCTTGTGCTGTATTTGATTTTGCTCATTGTTATTTAAATGATTATTCAGAAGGGACAGCTCATCAGTTATCTTTAAAAATTATATTGTAACACTTTTTGAGTTGCTAATTTTTGCCAGTTTTTTAATTGTTTTAATCACTTCGATTGGAAGGGATAAGGGATATTAGTATTTGACTCTTTTCTTTTTGCAAATGTATACAATTATTTATTACAAAGGGAGCATTAACTAGGGTGGTTTAAACATGGCACAGCTTTCATATTCCCTGACTGTGAATGAGAGACACATTGAAGGAGGTTTAACCTAAAGAGGAAAATATTGTCATTGGCAGAATATGTTCCACACGAAAGAGTACCAAAAACACTAGGAAGAGTGATGATGCAAGCTGCAGATTCCAGCAAGCAAACCAACCACTGCAGTGAGGGGCTTTCCGCCGGATCGCCCTACGTCTTTTACGGATGCAGAATCTTCAAGGGGACAGACAGCCTCATCATTCTTCTGCAGAGGATTAGGTGGGTTTGAACCGTCTACTATGTGGTAAGCACTTCAAACATTTACTGAAGAGTACTGGGGGTACAGATTAGAGAAACAAAAATGACTTGGTAGTTTCAAGAGAGTAGACAAAGTCCACCTGAATCAGGCTGGATTCCTCACATTCCTTCTTTTTACTTTATATAAACTCAAACTTTTACTTCAAACTCTCCGTAATCCACATCAGGCGTATGCACAACACTCACAAAGAAATTTTTATCCGCGTTTTGATCATTTATCACTTAATTTCAGTTCCTAATATGTAATTCTACACATTCTTTGAAAGAAATGCAAATCTTTTGAGGATGTCATTGAATGACTGTTTTACTTGTTTATTTCTCAGGGTATAAATGAAGGGGTTCAACAAAGGAGCAACAGATGTAGTGAGCAGAGAAACTGCCTTGTTTATGGCCACTTCATCCTTTGCTGAGGGTTTGATGTACATGAAGATGCAGCTGCCATAGGTGATGGAAACCACAATCATGTGGGAAGAACAGGTGGAAAAGGCTTTCTTCCTCTGCTGGCCAGAAGGCAATCTTAGAATAGTCTTAATTATTTGCATGTAAGATAGAACTACACATACAAGAGTCATTATGAAGGTCAGCACAGCACAAATTATAACCAGTTGCTCTATGAACCACGTGTCTGAACATGAATTCTTCAGAAGTGGTGAAGCATCGCAGTAAAAATGATCAATGACAGAATCACAAAATTCCAGATGGAGGCTCAGACCAAGAGGAGGGAGGATTATCAATAGGCCAGCCACCCAACAACAGAGGATGAGAATCCTGCAGACTCTGCTATTCATGATGGTCACATAATGCAGGGGGTTGCAGATGGCCACATAGCGGTCATAGGACATGACGGCCAAGAGAAAAAATTCTGTAGCTCCAAAGAGAACAATAAAAAATATTTGGATGAAGCATGCTTTGATGGAGATAGTTTGATCACCAGTTGCTATGATATGCAGATATGTGGGTACACACGCAGTTGTGAATGATATTTCTAAAAAGGAGAAATTTTGAAGAAAAAAGTACATACCTGTCTTTAGATGAGAGTCCACTAAAATGAGAAAAATGATAGTCATATTCCCAAGTAAGCTTAACATGTATGTGATGAACAGAAAGATGAAAGCCAAAATCTGTAGCTGAGGGTCCTTTGTCAACCCCAGGATGATGAATGCTGTTATCGCTGTGTGGTTTTTCATCGCTGACGTCACACTACTGACTAATTGTCACATAAAAATCGCAGAAATTATATCTGTAAACAATATCAAAATGACAGAATCAGTGTCAAATAGCTGTAACATGCATTTCCTTCTATTACTTGATAATATTTCACTGATAAGGTGATGACAATTTCACTGAAAGGGACCATAAAGTAAGATAATCTTATGGAAAGGCTTTCTCTCACATTATTGATACCAAAATTGTTTTAAATTTTCCTGGGTTCACAACCCATACAAATACTTCCAAATTATCATTGGGTGCCCATAATTTATAGGAGATTGTGAAAATTGAAACAGAAATTGGGCCTTTGCAAATGTAATTTGACCCGTGCTAGATTCTATTCTACCATTCCTCTGTCAGTTTGTTGGACCGTGGTGGCTCCCAAGTTGCTGTGATGTTAGAATCTATGGCATCAGTATTTCAAATACCAGTAAGTTCACTAATGAGAATAGGTTTCAGTGTAGCTTCTGGACTAAGAACAGACAGGGAAGAGGAATATGTTATTCACTTCAGAGATATTAGCCACTAACGTCGTATAAACAGCAGGGGAACATCGTCAGAGACAGTGCCAGAAGACGAGGCTCTCAGGTTGGAAAGCACTCAGAACCTGACTCGGGAAGAGCTGCCTCCTCAAAGCAGAGTCAACCTCAATGATGTGGATGGCCGTTGATGAGACAGGACTCAAAATGCGACGAAGCAGCGGCAAACATTCATTTAATCATCAGAATGTAGAATTATGAAATATTAACTTAGAAACATTCAAAGTGATCAAAAATAAAATACAACAGCTAAAGATCAATAGCCTAGGCACTAGTGAGCAGAAATAAACCTGTATTTGAGTCAGATAATCACAAAGTTTATTATCCCAGGAATGTCAGATTCAGGAAGAAAGACATTGCACTTACTGTCAAAAAAGAACATTTCAAGACCTCTCTTGGAATACAATGCTGTCTGTGATAGGACTACATTTGTACAAAAATAATTGGTTGGCATTCAAGAATTTCAACACGCAGAGACAGAATTTTCATTGAGTCTATTCCAACTTATCATGACCCTATGAGACAGTCAACAATTTCAAGAAGTATCATATGATCAAAAATTAAATGGTATTGAAGGAAGACATCCAAGTTACACTAAAGTCATTCGCTGAAAATAAAGCTTCAGGACTGGATAAGATATCAATAGAAATATTTCAACAAGTTGATGCAACACTGGAAACACTATGTCAAAAAATGTGGAAAATAGCTACCTGATCAATCAACTAAAAGAGGTCCATATTTGTGCCCATTACAAAGAAAGGTGACCTAACAGAATGTGGAACATATTAAATAATATTATTGATTTCACAGGCAAGTAAAAGTTTGTTGTAGATAATTCTAAAGTAGCTTTAGCAGTATGTTGACAGGAACAAGCCAGAAATTCATACCAGAATCAGAAGAGGATTGTAACAAGGGGTATCACTCATTGCTGATGTTGGACGAATCTTGGCTGAAAGCAGAGAATACCAAAAAGATGTTTACTTGTGTTTCACTGGTTATTGGAAAGCATTCAACTGTGTGGATCAAAGCAAACCAGGTACAATATTGTGAATAATGAGAAATTCGGAACAATTAACTGTGCTCATGTGGAACTTGTACAGAGACCAAGAGGCAATAGTTCAAACAGAAAAAAGGAATACAACATAGTTTAAAATCAGGAAAGGTGTGTGTCAGGGTAGTATCCTTTCAGTACACTTAACCTATTGTATGCTTAGAAAATCATGTAAGTAGCTGGACCATATGAAGAAAAATTAGAGGGAGACTCATTAGCAATTCACCATATGCAGATGATACAACAGTGCTTTCTGAAAGTGAGGACTTGAAGCACTTGTGAAAACCAATGACATCAGTCTTAAATATGGATTACAACTCAATGTAAAGAAAGCCATAATCCTCGACCAATAAACAACATCATGCTAAACTAGAAATGATTAAACTTGTCAGGGATGTCATTTTCCTTGGATTCACAAGCAAACCTCATGGAAGCAGCAGTCAAGAAGTCAAATTTTGCATAGGGCAAATCTGCTGCATAAGGCTTCTTCAACATATTAACGAGCAAAGTGTCACTTTTAGAAAAGAGCCTGAACCAAGCCCTTGTGTTTTCAGTTGCCTCGTAACCACATGAAAGCCAGATAAGGAATAAGAGAGTCTGCAGAAGAATTGAGGCACTTGGATTGCAGTGTTGGAGAAGAACACTGAAAGTACCATGGACAGCCAGAAGAACAAACAAGTCTGCCTTGGAAGAAATACAGCCAGGTGCTTCTTAGAAATGAGGCTGGTGAGACTTCCATTCACGTAGTTAGACATGTTATCTGGAGAGACCAGGACCTAGAGAGAGACATTGTTTGGTAAAACAGAGAGTCAGTAGAAAAGAGAAAAATAGTCAACAAGATCTGACAAGAGGCTGAAAGAATGGGCTCAGACATGATAATTAAGAGAAGGACTGGGTCGTGCTTCCCTCTGGTGCCCAGGGTCACGATGGGTTGGAACTGACTTGACGACACACTAGAACAACAACACTAGTCCTCTCAGTCTACAATTATCTCACTCCTAGTCCCTTAGCCTCAAGTATAGGGTGAATTAAACTTGGACAAGAAAATGCAATATTGTATTCTCTCTTCCATACAAAGAACTGAGAATAATACCTGACAAATACTTGTTGAATCTGTGAGTTTCACTCTTTAACACAATATATTAAATATAAACAAAGAAATAACTAACAATGGTGGGATTTTTATCTCGGTCAATACCAAACCAAGACCATTCCCACAGAGTCCATTTTGATTCACAGGGACTCCATCTCGGGTTTCTGAGTCTATAAATATTTATAGAAGCAGACAGCCTCATCTTCTCCCTTGGTTCTGAAGCGCTGGCCTTGGGGTTAGCAATCCAGTGTTTGCCTAACAGAGACAACGATGATTTGAAATCACTTTAGGAAAGGGCCAGCCAAACAGAGTCTTCCAAGAAAATTTTCCTCCATTGTCTCTTAAATTATATTTTTAATTTTCCAACTATAATTTCCTAATTATATTTTTAATTTTCTTCATTATAATGAAGAAGATAATGACCAAATGGTTCTTGAATTTTCCTTCTTATCTCATCTGTCAAGCACATAATTGGCCTTCTCTCTCTTAATACAATTTATTTCTACCCAGTATTACCTGTCAGTGTAATGCTAAAAACTAAAACCCAAGTACACAGCCATTCTGATTGAAGAAATAACAGTTGTTATACTAGTAACCTAATCTGTTACATTGACCTATTGAACATTAACCTATTTTCAGTCAGCTGTTCTTGGCCTCGGCCTCGATGTTCCAATATTCACAACCCATATATAGCTATCGGGCGCTAGAACTATATTGAGATTTTCTGTAATTAGAAAATGCTTAGCAATAATATAGCAATATACTCACACACTGCCATTGAGGGTATTTCAATTCCTAGCGACCCTAGAACACAAAGAGAACCCATGGACCAGTGTCAACAGCTCCATTGTCTTTCTGAGACTATAAGCTTCACAGGAGGACAGAGGAGACTTTCTAGTACACTAAAGAGTTACGGTCTCAGAAACCCACAGGGGCAGTTAGTTCTACCCTGTCCTGTATAATTCCCCTGAATCACTACCGGCTCCGTGGCAGTGACAGGACACTGATTCTTTACAAAGCAGGAAGCCTTGACTTGGTGGGCTTGAACTGCTACTGTTCTGAGTATCAGTCTAATTCAAAACCCTCTATGCTACCAGCCTCCTTATACAACAAGATATATCAATGATAAATTTATACTGGATCCACGTTGAAGCAGTAATACTTCAGATAATACTGTTAGATAACATTTTTTATTAAATCATTTTATTGGGGGCTCGTACAACTCTTATCACAATCCATACATACATACACTGTGTCAAGCACATTTGTACATTTGTGGCCATCATCATTCTCAAAACATTTGCTTTCTACTTCAGCCCTTGATATCAGCTCCTCATATTTCCTCCTCCCTCCCCACTCCCCCCTCCCTCATGAACCCTTGATAATTTATAAATTATTATTGTTTTGTCTTATCTTACACTGTCTGACATCTCTCTTCACCCACTTTTCTGTTGTCCATCCCCAGGGAAGGGGTTATATGTAGATCCTTGTAATCAGTTCCTTCTTTCTCCCTCACCTTCCCTCCACCCTCCAGGCATCGCCACTCTCACCACTGGTCCTGAAGGGATCATCTGCCCTGGATTCCCTGTGTTTCCAGTTCCTATCTGTACCAGTGTACATCCTCTGGTCTAGCCAGATTTGTAAGGTAGAATTGGGATCATGATAGTGAGCATTTAAGAACTAGAGGAAAGTTGTATGTTTCATCGGTGCTGCACTGCACCATGACTGGCTCGTCTCCTCCCCATGATCCTTCTGTAAAGGGATGTCCAGTTGCCTACAGATGGACTTTGAGTCTCTACTCTGCACTCACCCTCATTTACAATGATATGATTTTTGTCTTCAGTGATCATATCGGGAAGGTGATATGATTTTTTCTTTGATGCCCGATACCTGGTCCCTTCTATTTTGTTGCATTTTATTTTAATTTTTTTTATTTATTTAAGAGTATTGGCAGAAAATGTTAAATTGGGTCACATTATATTTGGGTCACATTATATTTCTATTGGACAATATGGGGGTCACATTATATTTCTATTGGACAACAGTATTATAGAGTTTTATGTTTACTCCCTAAGGAATAAAAAAGGATTTCCCAAAAGACCAAATTATATAGTTATTTTCCTAATCACTTTATTCTTTTTAAAAATATATATTCTTCACTGATATCAATGAAACGTGTTCCCCAGTACTGAGGAAATTAAAATCTTTTTATTCTTTTTGAAATGACTAGTATCAACTCCTGCCAGGTATAGAGTTTCTATAATACAATGGTAGCTTCACTTATCTTATAATGGATAGAGGAATATCATGAGGCTAATGGTTTGCAAG